CAATGCACAAGGTTATCAAAGGTCAAGGGGTCGCGCAGAGCGAGACAACGTTTCACGATAAAAATGTTCACTGAGTTCTTCTCCTAGAAGTTCTCAGTGGCCCCCAAGGGTAATAGAAGAGACCCTCTCGCGCCCAAAAACCCACGGTTAGGGCATAGTGGAAGCCTTGTTCTCGGCTCGAGCGGCCTTCCCGCCGCTCGTTAGGAGACGAGTGTCGAAGCGATACAGATAGCAATTATTCGTTCTAGCACCCACACACAATCAACAGATCGCCGAGTAATGAGGCGATCAGCTGATTGTGCGTGGGTCCTAGAACGAATAATTGCATTCCCCCATTCTTTTTTCTCTGTTATTCTTTTTGCTGCCGCGATTCCTTATTTAATTTCCTACCCCAAGAGGCTGAAAAAGTGAGCTCTTTGCTGTTAGTAGGGTTTTCAGTTCACTTATGCTTATAAGTAAATGAATTTTTGTTTACCGTTAGCCAGTTATTTGCACCTGGACCCATACGCACGCAACGACCCACACTGTATAGCTCGTACAAACGCCCCAATCTTCTCCATTCTTCTGGTCTCATTCTCGTCCAGCCCCCTTTTCGACGATTTTCAAAACCTCTCTTCACTTCGAAAACACCGATTCACGCAGTCCCCTCGCCTTCTTCGCCCTATTTTCCATCTTATCTTCCATTTTCCGTCATAATCTGGATTACCCACAGTTATCGTAAACTGTGCCTTTCATGATATATTCGTAAAGAAAGGAAGCCTTATTGATAAAGACATTTGGTAATGGTGTCATCATGACCCGATAACATTTGTGACTACCATTCAAGGCTTTGGTTGTCTACCAGTTCAATGGGTCATTATTTTTAGGATGAACAGCAAATATCGAGATATTTAATAACGGCATAAGCATTGGTTAATTTCGAAAACCACTTGCATGCCCTATTAGTCCCACGTCGAATTTCATGTTTCCAAAAGTACCATTTGCTCCAAATAAGGAGGAGCTGATTTGCCAATTATTACAAGTCGATAAGAAGGAGGAAAGACCGGCGTTAGCCGGGCGACCCGACTGGCTGAGCATATGAAACTTCATCTGATCTTGACCAGCTGGGATTATTACAGTCAAGACAAATCATGAATTAGTATACGTATGAGTACGGTGAAGCTATAAATATAGGATTTAGTGAGGTCAAGTGTAAAAAACAAAGTCTTTGGGCGTTTATCAATCCCGTCTGAGGGGTGCGCCCCCGCATTAAGCATCTATTTAAAAATAGCAAAATCAACAAAGAAGGTTCTCGTTGATGGCCGTTCATTCTGGGTTTGTTCATTTGTAATTGACGAGTTCGCCCATGCGATAGCATATTTTCAATTCATTCATGTTTCATTTTTCTGTTCAATTCAAATTCCAAGAAGCCATTAGGAGGGAAATTTTTCTTGCGTCATAATGTCTTGCTCTTGCGCCTTGAGAAAATAAATTTATGGGAGGACGCAAGGCTCCAGAAATCCGATTGAAAACAAAGGAGGGCTCAAAGGTGGCAATTGTCTTGCAGCGATGAAGAAGCACTGAAAGCTATCGGGATGCTAGAGGTGGCCCGAATTCACTTTCAAGCAAGCGACCTTTTGGAAGGATTTATCCGTAAGTGTGCGGGTGGTTCAGTGGATATTTATAAATGCTCTGGTGATAACGGAGTAAATGTAACACAATAATAGTAAGTGCGGTCGTTCCCGCTAGTAAGGCACAGAATAATGGTAATAAATACTTTATGTGACAGGTAACTTAGGTCTTGCCCGTGACGCTGTTATAGACAGGAGTGCGGACCCACTTATGTTGGGTCCGCTTGACCCTGCATTATTTAGGGGCGAGAGTTCAGCTAGGGAATCTCAGACAGTGAGATGACGATATAGTTATGGGGATTGTCGCCGTAGACGACGATAGTAGGAGCAATTCAAGAATATCTAGCAGTTATGTTCTGCCCTGAGTCAAAGAGCAAGTATTTACAATGCCTTCATTCTTTCCTTGCCATTTATCGCCATTCATTGCAGAACTGAAATCTCTTGACTTTTCTTTAAAAAAAGTTTTGAAGGAACAGTTCTAAGGTTTTGATCACAAGGCCTTCGGCAGGATCGCTATACTCGCCCACTGCTTTCATTTCGTCGTCTACGCTGATGGTGATCAGGGTTAGTTCTGTGACTTCACCACCTTGTCTTACCTTCAACTTCAATGTGCTTCTGCAGTACACTAACAACTGGCTAGAGGAGAACAGTAATACGATCAACTGTTTAACGAGAGATTTATTGCGATGAAACCCAACAACAGTCACTACCGTAAACTATAGATACGTATGGCACCTTACATGAGCACTCATTACGGTCATTGATTCATGGCTTCTATACGCGGCAGCACATTCCTCCTCCGCATGAGCTGTAACCGCTGGAGCAGCCACAGCCAGAACCGGATGTGGAGCATGGTACCTGCAACGAACACATCCTACTATATATAACGCGCTAAGTGTGTCTGTTGGTTTGTCTGTGTGTGTGTGTGTGTGTGTGTTTGACCGGAAATTCATAACTCGGTTTCCAGTAGACCTAGAGAGTTCAAATTTGGTGGGAGTACAGGGGGCAGGTTAGGAACACTTATGGTGGGCGGCGGGGCCAGACTCCGCAAACAGGGGGCGGGGTTTGTGCGAAATAAATGTTTGAGCGTAAAGTTATAACCTCTGTCCCAGTGGACCTAAAGCGCTCAAACTTGGTAGGGGTACAGGCAGCAGGATGGGAACACTCATGTTGGGTGGCGGAGTCAGACTCCGCCCACAGGGGGCGGGGTTTGTGCGGAAAATCGTAACTGCAGTCCTCGTGGAGCTATTAAGTTCAAATTTGGCATGAGCACAGGAGGCAGGATAAGAGCACGCATGGTTGGTGGCAGGACCGGACTCCGCCCACAAGGGGCGGGCTTTGTGGGAAAAACTCAAACTTGGACATATAACGTTCAAATTTGGTAGGGGTACAGGTGGCAGGATGGGAACACTCATGGTCGGAGGCAGGACCGGACTCCGCCCACAAGGGGCGGGGTTTGTGCGGAAAATCGTAGCTGCAGTTCCCGTGGACCTAGAGCGTCCAAATTTGGTAGGAGTACCCAAGATAGGATGGGAACGCTTATAATGGGCAGCAGGATTGAGCTCCGCCCACAATGGGCGGGGTTTGGGCAGAAATTCATAGCTCCTGTTCCTGTGGACCTTGGAAGGTCAAATTTGGCATGAGCACAGGAGGCAGGATAGAAGAACTCATGGTTGGTGGCAGGACCGGACTCCGCTCACAAGGGGCGGGGTTTGTGTGAAAAACTTAAATTTGGACCTAGAGCGTTCAAATTTGGTAGGATTACAGGCGGCAGGATGGGAACACTAATGGTGGGTGGCAGGACCGGACTCCGCCCACAGTTTGGCCAGAAATTCATAACTCCTTCAGGGGGCGGGGCTTGCAGAGAAATGTCAAAATGGACCTAGAGCGACCAAACTCGAAAGAATACAGGAGGCAGGATAGGAACATCGATGGAAGGTTGCAAGGCTAAACTCTGCCTTAAAGGGCTGGGCGTGAATAAATACTATTGATTCGGACCCAGACCGTTGAAACTCGAGGACGCAAGGAGTCGGCTGGGAACATTGATGGTAGCTAACATAGTAGACTCAGACGCGATGAAGTATCTGAATACTTTTTTCTCAGAGTAATCGCATTTGTGATGTTATGCGATGTTCTATTCGGACACAGCGAAGATGGCTTACAGAAAAAATCGCTCCTGATTCGGAGCTAATACTGAGGGTGTAGAGCTTTCAAAGAAAAAGAAGAATCCGAAGTGTTATTTACGCATAGCAAATTTCTCACAGGGAGGAGGAGCGCCCGGCGTAGCCGGGCGAACCCATAAGAAGGAGGGAAGCCCGGCGTTAGCCGGGCGGCCCGACTGGTATCAAAATACTCGCCGAAACAGCTAAAACAGTAGAACAAAGTGTTGAAAATGTAGAACTCACAACGAGTTGCCGTACTCCTTGACAAGTCTGAGCGCAGGTCGCTTGGCACCTTTGCTGGCAAGGCATGAGCCAAGCGACATTTTGACAACTGCTCATACATCCGCTCTTACAAGTACTCATACAGGTTGGCAAAACTTGGCATCGTGCTCCGCATGATGATTGACAAGAGCCCAGGCATACGGACGATGAGCCGCATGAGGCACCACATTCTTGGACACATTGACTTCTGCATCCTCCAAATGAAACCTGAGCGGGTACCAGCGAGACGGCAGGAGCGACCTAGAAAGGCAGCCGTGTTTTTTTCATCTGAAGGAGAACTTTCCCTCCATTTCTTTTTACAGTGCAATACTTGTATGTGGGCCGGAGACACATTGGGCCACGAAATTATCCCAGAACCCTGCTGAAAACTTACATAACGGCTCACAATTGAACCACCGCAGACACCTCCACAAGTTTTCTGACAGTTACAACTTCCTGATCCACATCCAGCATAGCACGACTGTAGGCAAGTGCCACATGAGGACTAGAATTCATACGTAACCAGTAACTCTTTTTCTTTCCGAAACTAGTATTCCTGCTAGTTCAATATCGATTCCGAAAACTCACAAAACCGCCCACGGCTGCACCCCCGCAGACACTACCACAGGTCTTTTGACAGTTACAGCTTCCCGATCCACATCCAGCATAGCACGACTGGAGGCAAGTACTACAGGAGGACTGAAAACGAAGCAGAAACCACTAAAGAGAATACACGACAGGAATATGTTTCGTTTTTTTGTTTTTGTTAGCTCATTTAACATTTTACCAAACAAAATTTTTCGGTTGTTCTTCATCTACATTTATACTTACATAACCGCCCACAACTGCACCGCCGCAGACACTACCACAGGTCTTCGGACAGTTACAGCTTCCTGAACCACATCCAGCATAGCACGATTGTAGACAAGTGCCACATGAGGACTATAATTCATATGCCACCAGCAATAATTTTCTCGCTTCAAAATTAGTGTTCTTGGTAAATTATTACGAACGATAATTTCAAGCCAAAGTATCAAAAATATATGGGGGGTGGGGGGAACAAATCAAAGAAGTAGTTCAACTTCCGTTTCGCACGTGCCCTAGACTTTAGTCGAACTTTGAAATACTCTCCCTCCGAGCTTTTCAGTGGGGTAAGGGAGAGCAGAAACTTATGACAACTTCATATAGTAAACAAATAAGTTGAGAAGTGTTGAATAGGTAGTAGTTCAATATGGACACTCACATAACCACCCACAATTGCACCTCCGCAGACGCCACCACAGGTCTTCTGACAGTTACAGCTTTCTGATCCACATCCAGCATAGCACGACTGTAGACAAGTGCTACAAGAAGCCTGCAAATCTTATACTTATTATACTTCTACGGCTCGTCTTCACTCATGTGCGAGCACCAGCAAAAAACCATTCGCTTCTGTCTTCCGCGATCGCCATCCATGGTAGGCTCAGGATTAGAAGAAGATGGCGATGTGAGGAGTCGTTCAGTTGCTGTCGCAGCCGTTTCACGTGATCGACAAGAACATCCCCCCATCTCGCAGCAGGCCTACCTTTAGGTCGTGAAGATCCTATGGGAACCCACTCGACTGTTCTTCTTGTCCATGTGTCATCATTTCTTCTCATTATAGGACCGGCCCACTGAAATTTTGCGTTCTTCATGTATTCCACCGAATCGCGGAGTCGAGACATTCCGCGCATATCGGAGCTGCGGAGTCCGGCTCGATATTGCGTTAGTCGGTTAAATCTCAAAAGACATCGCTCGAGCGCTCTGTAATTTGTGTTCAGAGCCCTTGACGTGGATGCACTGGTCACCCAAGTCTCCGACCCACCCGTAACAGGGCGCAGGAAGAACTGTGTAATCGAACAGATTAGCGCGACGTTCCGGGTCAGCCAGATGACTGGTGGCCTCTGTAAGAGTCCGAAGGCTGCCTACGCTGCTTTCTGCCGTCTCACCAGTTCTTCCCTAATGTGGTTGTCCATATTTATGGAACGCCCGAGATAGACGTATGACGAGGTCTCCTTGATGGGTACCATCGATCTTAAGTTGACCTTCGTCGGCCCAGGCATTCTTCATGAACTGTGTCTTTGTTTGGTTGATCCGCAGCCCTACCTTCTTTCCTGCTTTATGCCCGGAGTAGGTCGGCTGAGATCAGCAAGCATAGTCTCAGCTTCCGCAATGCTGCTTGAAAAGAGAAAGATGTCGTCTGCAAAGCGGAGATTTGAGAAGAACCGACCGTCCACAAGAATGCCCTTTTCGTCCCAGTCGAGCGACTTCATAACCCTCTGCAGCGCGGCTGTGAACAGCTTCGACGAAGTAGTGTCGCCTTGTCTCACGCCCTTGTCCATGGGAATGGGGAGAGGTCGTTGGAACAGCTTCACCGTCTCGCTGCAGCGACTGCTGCAGTCAGCTAGTGTTCTTATGTAGGGAGGGTCCACTCCTCGATCGACCAGTGCTGACAGGACCGCCTTTGTTTCGACGCTGTCAAAAGCTTTTTTATAGTCGACAAAGGCATTCGGAATTCTCGGCACACTTCGATGACCATTGCGACCGCTTGCATGTGGTCTTAACAACTGAATCCCTTCCGGAATCCGGCCTGCTCTACAGGTTGAGCTTCGTCCAGCGTTCGCGATGTGCGAGTTAGAATGATTTTCGTGAATAGCTTGTGAAACACACTTAACAAACTTATTGGGCGGTAATTGCGAAGATCATCGCGGTCTTTCTTCTTGTGAAGAATGACCATCCGCGAGTTCCTTCACTGGTTGGGGATCTTCTCCTTCTGGAGGTAGAATTCATATGTGTTGCGAGAAGCGCATGAAGTTCGTAGCCTCCTGCACGGAGTAGGTCGGCTGAGATCTTGTCGGGGCCT